GTTCAGGACTACACTAACACCAGAAGCAAAGTAACCCAGTTATACATTTTCTTGACTCCTCAGTTCATTATTCTGCACTGTGAATTCTGTGGCTCCATTGCGTAGGGGATGTTAAACTGTAGTTGCTAACTTTTTTTGTGGCCTTGCTCCTCTCCTGTCCACAGTAGCCTGTCCTGCTGAAATGTAGATGTGAAACTTTTCGTGCCATGGAGCTGATGTGGCAGCACTGCGCTTCACCAGCAACATTTCTGCCGACAAAAGGATAGAAGCGTGGCTGGAAAAAAAGTTGGCACCCCTATGGTTAAATTGACTCATAGATTTTGTGTGGTGGTGGTGGTGGTGGTGACGACTCAGACCTCAACATTAGTCCTCTAGAAAAGTGTTCACAAGTGGACCTAGTTTTTAATATGCAAAGAAATAGGAAAAAATGCAAAGAAAAATTATCACAAACCACACAACTCTTTCTTTTAATGAACAACTGCTACCATTTGTTTGGAAATGTGCAATCAAGGTGTGGCACAAGAGCACAGATACAGATCTTATTTCCTGGTCCTAGTCATCTAAGAGGAGTGCCTTAAATCTGTCAGGAACTTGCTATTCACATTCCAAAACCAAGTTATTTTAATCAAATGGGATTAATGTTTCTCTTACCAAACTGAGAGATGACCTGTCCAATGGATCTGAATCCACATTTGTTGTATACTTCCTGCCCACAGAATGTTTACTTGGAGAATTGTGCTAAGAAGAAACCAACCAGGTTTTACAAGACACTTTTGAAGTGTTCCCATGAGATCGCTTGTGCAACCATTCCTTAAAAAAATTAAAAGCTGAGCGATGAATAATCCATTCACCAGAAGTAAGCTTTCCAGTTTCATCATTCAAACAGATTTCATGCCGAAGCATATTAAACAAATTAATTGAAGGCAATCTGATCTAGTTTATTTGAATCACAGCACTGTAAGTTTGGGATTAACTTCTAGAAGTTTATTGGCCATGACAGGCTGTGAAGAAATTGTGTTTCCCAGATGTCCAAATGTGTCTGGCGGATGCTTCTCTGCGTTTGCTCTGAAAAATTCAAAGTCTCTTGTTCAATATGTTGCCATTTATCAGTTGATGAAAGGTACATACATGTAAAGCTGGGATTCTAGGAAACTATGAGCAACCTTTTCTTCATTTGTTGTCCACCAGAAGCTTGCACTTCAAATATCAGAAGTTATTTGCTCCCTGGTTTAGAAGCAAGAATAACTAAAACCCTCCTGATTGTACCTTTGCTAACTGGGGACCTGATTCACATTTTAATTGGTACTTAAGGAACTCCTTGTCATAATAAACTGCAATGTCAGGGTCAGCTGTGCTTCTCTTCCCTACACATAATGGTTCTCTATCCCTTAATAAATTGCATTGATGCAAGTAATAAAATACTGTGCTGCAATCAACTTCAGGGGCCTCACCCTGCATTTCCCTACAACAAGTCAACACGCCAGGAAACAGAATAACAATATTACAATAACAATATTAGACTACACTGAAACTGAGTAACAATATGAGGCTACTACTAGATTTACCATCCCCCCCAAAATATGTATAAGAAGATTGAGATACTTTTCAGGGTTGAGTTAGCAGACCCACAAACCCTCACAAAAGCCCTGCCTCTTGTAACAAGAAATATTTTGTATAAAATAAGATCTTATTATTAATACATATTAATACAAATTTGCATTATCATAATTTTAAGGTGCCCATATTTTGTAAACATTCATAGAAACAGCATCCTTCTGATTTGCCTGCTGGCCTGGGAAGGTTCTCTTCCAAAACATATGTGAGTCTGGAAACTGGTCCTCTCAATAGGAGTGGCTCCTATAAACCTCTTATCAATTAACCGGAATGTGTATCTAATTCTGTGTGCATTGCAATAGATAAACAGAAGTGCAGTTACAAGAGATGTCACTGAGAGCCATTATTAGCTTTATTTTTTTAAAAAGGAAATGCTCTGGTGGAAACAAACATTGCTAGGGACTCATTCCTTGATACGGATAGATGTTGCCCCCTAGAAATCTGTCCATACGGGGTGAAATCTTGTTATTTTGGGGGCTTTCCTCCCCAGGTCTGAAGAGAAAGCCACAGGGAGTCTCCCCTCATGAGCTGAACCTCTTCCAAACTGAGGGAGTTTGGAAGGTTATGTTAGCCGACTGGCGAACATAAAATGGTGCCAGGGGATGGATGATGCCACTATGTGGTCAGGGATCAAGCCTCTTTGAAACTCCCTAGTCAGGGCCTGCTTCGAGGCGCATCTCCCTCTCCTTTCGCGCGACGCCACAGGACACCGACACGCCAAAGGGGAGTCTCTAAAGGGAGGGAAAGAAACCAGCGAGAGACTCCACCGCCGGGCGCGAGGGGCTCAAAACCTCTCCCCTCGTTGCCTTCCTCCCCGCCTTTTCCACGCCGGCCGCGGAGTGGCTGGGGCTGCGTCACGTGGGGCAGGGGGCGGAGGCGGAGGCACCTCCCCCTTTCGGAAGACTCCGCCCACCGCGCTTACCCTCAGAAGCAGAAGTCGGCGCCCGGCTGAGGCGGAGGAAGTGGTG